TTGGGGAAGCGGTGGAAGCAGGGGCCTCTTGGCTTTCACCGCGGGATGTGCCACTCCTGTAGGTTGCCCACTTCCCCCCTCCAGCTCTTTGCACCACGTCGTTTGGCATCCGCGCGGCAGCCTCATCCCGACCTCGCTGATCATCCGTCGTGCACGGCGCTTGCGGCCTCGATGAGTTCGGCGCCAATAATGCGTGAGGCCCCGTGCCGCTCGAAGCTGCCCTGGTCCTCCGCCCCGCTTCGTCGGACTGGCCATCAGCACGCAGGGCCAAGTGGGTCGAAATGAGCGTGGTACTCAGGAGGAAAAGAAACACAGACACACCAGTAATCCTCGATTCCCCAGAAAATATACGAAAATATTGAAAATTTTGGGAATCTTTTTATTTGTGTGCATGTATGTGTGTGTCCTGGGGCCCCTTCAGGTACGGGGATCTCCTCGGCGTTGCGCCTCATCCTTATCGCGTGCCCTCCCGGGCTTCTCGTCCGGGTGCCCCCGCGCGCCCTTCCCGGTGGGCGTGGTACAGTCGGGGCCCTGAAGAAGGAGCCCTTTTCGTTGGGGAGGGACTCCGCGTTCCTTAAGTGTTTCACAGTTTGCCTCAGGTTGTCCGTATGTTTTCGATCGGAAATCGAAGTTTATTTTATTGAAAAGAGGGGCCTCGTTCCTTATTTTGGGCTCCTTAGGTCAAGGCCCCGACTGTACTCCTGCTGCGGGACCTCGTTCGCCGAGCCAGGTGTGAAGTCGGACGTGTCCTTCTTTCTACAGGAGGAATAGTCAAAAATTGTCAAAACATAGTCGGGGCACGACTTGTTAAGCATGTCTGTTCTATGTTGAAATATTGTTTGACTATGTCTCATTCTCCGTTCAAAATCCCCCTGTAGGGGGACACGCCCGACCTGAGCCAAGTGGTGCCTGCTCCTGTCCCGAGCAACCGCCGCCGCAGACGTCGGGCTCAGGGCATCGCCTCGGCAGTTCGTGCGGCCCCCGCAGTCTGATAAGCGCGCTGCCGTTCCCGTTCTCCAACAGATCGCCGGGAGCTGAGCGCCAATGACCTAGACCTCCTACATGGGGTCGGAGTAGATGGGGTCGGAGGATCGCGCCGCATCGCCGATGCGGCTCGATGTGGAGCCCGATGTGCTTCACGTCGACGTTGCCGATGCATCGCCCACGTCGACGATGCATCGCCGGTGCATCGCCGATACATCGCCGATGTATCTGCGATGCGGCGCGATCCTCCGATCCCATCTACAGACCCGTTCCAGGAGGCCTCTAAATGAACGCGTCCATCAGCTCGGGTCGAGGAGCGGGGAAACCGCCGTCCTGGATGGAGAAAACGACGTTCAAGCCGACCGCCTCTACGTCCTTCCTGGGGTCGTCCTCCGTGGCGTTCTTGGAGGGGCCCATGGCGCGTGCGGGGAAGCTGCAGTAGGCGTCCCAGCTCGCCATGGGGCCTCGCACATGCAGTAGCCATGCCGCACACGAGGCCACCTTGGCTGAGGGGCCACCCTTACGGGCCGATGCTGGTGAGCGCCACCCCCCCCCTCGCATCCTCATGCCTGCTGCTGCGGGGCTGGACGCGGGCTCTGGCCTTCCCCTCAGTCTGTGGCGTCGTCGAGCGGCTGTGCCACGATACTGTTCGGTCCGCCGCTTGTGCTGCACAAGGAAGGAAACCGTCCTCCGTGGTCTTCATGCGGAAGCAGTGGGCCTTCGCGCACTTGCGTTGAGACGCTTGGGCTTCGGAGGCTTGGGCATGGCAGAGACGCACCCTGAAGGTGCACGTGCCGCCCAGCTCGGGCGCATCGCGCACGTCTGAGGCCAAAGTGTCTTCGACCAGCATCGCAACGGCCCCCTGCCTGGCTGAATCCTTACATCCACCTGCGCATAGTACCTGGGTCCCGCCTTCGGCTCCGACTCGGTCTCTGAATTCGGGTCCATATCCTCCACCTTAGCTGGGCCCTTTTCCGGACGTGGGTGTCGCCATCGCCGCTTGGCGCACGTACGTTTGAGGAGCTTGCCAATGCCTTGGAATGTCCATGTACAGCATACCCTGCACTGCTACCCGCCCTGGCTCTTCTGCTGGCGTGAGCTTGGCGAGGTGCGCCATGTTGATCTCGGTGATGTAGTCGACCACGCAGGAGGAGCACACACGCACGATGCTCTTCTCGCTCTCGGGGAGGGTGCACGGAGCGCTCGCACAGAGATTGGCCGTGCCTACGCCGTCTTCGTCTCGCGTGACCTCGAGGTCCGCCTTGTGGCGACGGTGCGAACTGCTCTTCACCTCCTTGAAGCGATGGACGTGACCGTACCTGGTACCTAGTGATGCGGCTACCTTCGAGTGGCCCCTGGCCAAGCCGAGCCACAGCACTACCCGACTTGATGATCAGGTCCGGCATCGCTTCCTCCTCTGGCCCTTACCTCGTTCTTCACAGAATCATCGAAAACCGCCAGCGGTTCCTCGGTACCTCTCCAGACAAGGGCGGTTGATGGATCCCCATCGAGAGCAACTCGCACGTCGTGTCCAGTCTTGCTCCCCTTGGCGAAGCCACGCACCGTAGTCGCGATGTAAGCGCAATAGCTCCCGGCCGTGCGCAGGAACCAGAATACGAAGCTGATCATCGAGCCCAGGATGGCGATCACCCCAACACCCACGAGACCCATGGCCATCCACTGTAGCTTCATCCAGTAGGCACCGAAGAGGTAGTGACCCATGGCGACGACAATACCCATGAGGAAGGAGAGTAGCTGTTGTAGCAGAGCCCCGATAGCATGCCCGACACGTTCGCCTAGCCATTTGAGCGCTACCTCGATCCAGGAGTTGTCACCGACATGGCGCCCACCTGCAGCTCACTCGCTTTCTCTGGGGGTGACTCCTGTCGCGGTGGACCATCATGCGGAGCGTCTCGACCTCCGCTTGGAGGGGGCTCATCAGGCGGCGGTGGGGCGATGCCGCGCTTGCGCCTGCGACCCTGGTTACTGGGCCCGGGTGAGACTTCTGCTCCCGAGCTTCATCCTTCTCCTGTACCTTGATCCTCGCAGCACTCGCTGGGCGCGGTTCGAGTAGTGGCTGGAGTAATACAGTCAACCCGCATAGTAAGGAGCGGCAACCTTCCCAAGGGTACCCTTGCATCCTTGCCTCCTCTGTCCATCCTTCGCCGCTTTCGCTGGCCGCGCCCCGCTCGAAAGCCTCGAAATGGGCGCCCAAGGCTCTTGCATCCTTTCCGCGCATCCTTGCTATACTGGTTGACTGTAGCACTTGCACTCCATCAGGTGCTCGCAGTCCTGGCCAAGGATCGGCGTCGAGTTCGGCGCATCCGCTGACCTACTGTTCGCCCCAGTCGGCCACGGCTGGCGGCGGACTCGTGGCTGGGGGCCCTCCCAGGGCGGGGGTCGCTGCCTCCTCGGGTCCCGCGAGCAGGAGGAGGAGGAGGAGGAGGAGGAGGAGGAGGAGGAGGAGGAGGAGGAGGAGGAGGAGGGGGAGGGAGGAGGAGGGAGGAGGAGGAGGAGGAGGAGGAGGAGGAGGAGGAGGAGGAGGAGGAGGAGGAGGAGGAGGGAGGAGGAGAAGGGAGGAGGAGGAGGAGGAGGAGGAGGAGGAGGAGGAGGAGGAGCTGCCCAGGTCCTTGAGAGGTGAGACGACGAGCACAGCGACGACGAGGACGATGACTGACCCCGAGCGCGAGAAGGACTTTCTAGGCACCACGTGATGGGGCTCCAGCCCCCCGCCGACGCCCCCGCGGCGCGCGCCCGCGCCCCCGCGCGCGGACGCGGACTCGGCGCCTCGCCTCGCCTCGCTTCGCCTCCCGGCTGCCTTGCTGCCATCATCCTCTGGGCTGTCGTCACCGTCGTCGGCTTGGGCATGGCCGCTCTCTGGTCCACGGTATGTGGCCGTCGCGGAGAAAGCCAGCGTACAGCCCTACGCCCAGCGACGCGTCCAGCCACGCTAGCATCGCGAATATGGCCGCCGCAGCGCTGCACTCGAGCGTGTGAAGCGGCCGCATCTGGCGGCCGCGGCAGGCCGCGCGATCCCTCCGGTCGCCGCCTGCACTGGAGGGGGGACTTGGCCCAGCCATTTTCCAGCACTCCTCTGGCTGCCTGGCCAGAGCCTCGAGCCAGGCAGGCGAGCTACGGTTTTGCCCGCCCACCCTGGAAAATGCTTGACCTCTCGAACCAGGGCCTTGAGCGAGACGGTTACGGAGGAGCAAAGGGAGAGAGAGAGAGAGAGAAAAGGCAAGAGGACAGAGACGGGGCTACGCCAGATGAGGACCCCCCCTGCTCTCACGAACGTCAAACCCTTGTCCATCAAACACTTGAAGAAACTTCAAGCTTCAGGATCAGAAATGATGAGGATGTCTCAGGCGAAGCGCCTGACCGCCCTTTCGACTGGTCTCTGGGTGCGACAGGGAGGAGTGATCTATATAGAGAAGGAGTGGAGGAGGAGGAGGAGGAGGAGGAGGAGGAAGAGGAGGAGGGGATTGAGCAGCGGGGCACCAGCCGCCGGCACCCGACCCCCCCGCCTCCCCCCGCGAGGCGTCGTCGCAGCACCTCTGTCGGTCCGCCGCGGTGTCGCTCCCCTCTGCTTCCCCCCCCTGCTGCTCGGGTGCTTCACCCAACAATAGGAGCGCGTGTCCCACATCCTTCCCTGGAGAGGGCCAAGGAGTCAGTCAGGCGATCGCAAACATGGATCACGTGGGCGTGGATTAGCGACGGGTCCCGTTTCCATGGGAAATCGCGGATTTCCGCCGACGAACGAGGCGGCACTGGCCGCATTTTGGGGAGAGCACCTCCCCGTATCCATGGATTTTGCGTCCGCGCGCCAAATCCATGGATCGCTAATCCATGGTTGCGCGCCCCCGAAGGAGGGAGGGCTTTTGGCATCACCTGTCACCAGCGAGCGTGCTGAGGAGGAGGAGGAGGAGAAAGAGGAGAAGAGGGAGAACCAATCAGCAGCAGCAGGTCGGACGAACAGCTGAGAGGAGTGTGTGGCGTCGCGATCTCGGGGTCCGCAGGCGTTGACCAAGAAGAAGCGTATGAACGCCATGCTGGAGGGTGGCGTAAACGTTTGGGTGGCCTCCAAGTCAGAGGCCATGGCCAAGGCCACGAGCGGTCTCGTCCTCGATCCTGATCTCCATTCCCCCACTTTCCTCCCTTCCCCTTCCTCGTCGATCCTCCCTACTCCTGCTGAACTCCCCCCTCCAAATCCCTCCATGTTCCTCCTCAATCATCACCAATCCCCCTCCTCCGCCCCCTCATCGTTTTCTTCCTCCCCATTCCTCACCGATCCTGGCTGATCATTCCTCTGATCCTTGCTGGTTCCTCGGCCCCTTCGTCCATCCCTCTTCCCTCCGTATCCGTCCTCCTTCCTCCTATCCCTCCTCCGTCCCCATCCCATTGATCAATATTGTTTACTATGTTTCCACAGTTCCTGTTGTATCATCATTCGTAGGAAGGGGTGGGAGTAGTGAGGAGCAGGACGTCAGATATCACGCGAGCGTATATACCTTGATCTCCTCCACAATCACACAATATGAGCATTGTTGTTCTCTCAATTCCGAAGATGACCTGATAGTGGCGAGTCCCACTCCGCGTATTGGTTTTTACACTCAGTATTGGTTTGAGTGTTGGTTTCGTGCGTGTCATTCCCATCCGATTGTTCTCGGTCCTTCCAAGATGGAGCCCCCGCTGCAGCGTTCGTCTCGTTTTGGGATCGGCGCTGTGCTTCCGTCGTTCATAATGGCGTTCTCGCCCCAGCCCCGCTTGCCTCGTCCCTCTCCTCCTGCTCCCCCTCGTCCCCCCTCCCACATACCCCGTCCTCCCCCCACTACCTCATTACCTCCCACTTCCCCCCGTCCCCATCACTCGCCCCTCCCTTCTCCTTCTGTCCTACTTCACCACGCCCTCCCCCCCACCTGTCCTTCCCCTCTGCCACTCCCCGCACCGTTCCCGCCTTTCTCCCCCCCACTCCCCCTCCAATTGGGCGCGCGCCCGCTCTCGGGCTGTTCGCCGCAAGGATGACTGAGCATGGATATCGGTGTGCGCCCGCGGTGGGGAAAGCCAACAGCCCTCATCCCCCTCCCAGTGCTTCAGGCCCTCAGGCCTCTCCATTCCCTCCTGGTCCCCATCCCTACCTCGTGGCTTCCGCCCCCCCTCACCTGTCCTGGCCCCCTTCTGCCCCTCCCCTCCCTCCCCCCCCCCCGCCGCGCCGTTCCTGCCGTAACCGTACTCCCCGCCCATTGCCTTCCCTCCCGCCCCCCGCCGTGCCCCTCCCACCCTTCTCCCTGCCATCCCTCCCGCCCCCCGCCGCGCCGCTCCTGCGCTTCTCCCTCCCCCCCCCCTCCCCTCCCCCGCGGCCCAGGCCCTCAGGAGATTCCACATCGGCGACGGCGACCCCCTCAACGTGGTCGGCATCGGCGACTCGCTGATCGAGGCCGAGGCCGCGCAGGAGATCGTCTGGAGGAGCCCCCGCGGGCCGGGGGGCGGCGGCGGGCCTCGGCGGCGGGCCCTGGCTTCCACTGGAGGAGCCCCAGGGGGGCACAGGTACGTCGACGCATATCGCATGAATGTTCGAATCGGGGCCAGTTTTGGGGGCTCAAGAATGCGTTGGCCTTCTTGCTGAGGTGGCTCGCCCTCCGCAAGAAGGACGGCGACACGCCAAAGTAAGCGCAAATTCTGCTCCCGGGCAGTGAAACCAAGATCCCTAGACACAGGTGTTGGTGGAGACGGCACGGGGGATTTCCTAGAGGCAGTGCCTGGGCGATACTGCACGTCCCAGGGTACCCCATAAACCTGCCGCACAACAGTCACGTCGAAACGTGTGTTCTCTTCCCTTCTGCGGATGGTGCGCGTCGGGAAAATCCCGTTCGCGCTAGCAATGATGTGTTCATGGTTTCCTGTGGTTTTACTTATCCACACTCCAGGCACAAAATGTGGCTCCATTTTAGCTGTGATCCGCCCTGCTTTCCGGCCCGAGACACACTCGCCAAATTCCACAATCATGCCATGGTATGCGTGCCCTTTCACACGCTCGAAAGACATTTTGCCGTCCGTGTGTTTCTGTAACCTACTGTGCAACCATCCGCAATGACGAATCAACCATGGTGTGAGTATATGTGTATTTGAGAGTACCATGATGTACCGTGACTCTAGGGCTAGTTTGTGCGTGCGCAACTGTGCCTCCACGCTCTGGTGAAAACGCTCTACAGACCCATTGGCTTTCTAATACCCTGCTAGTGTGTGCCGTAATTGCGTGTTGATTTTACGGTTACTTGTTACAACGCGCACAACATGTTGGATTGAAATTTCGTCGCTTGTCTGAACAACAATCGTGCTCGTGAAACTTGCGTGATCCAAATGCTTCACGGTAGAATATATCGCGTGCGTGTCTGATGATTCGTTGTTGTTCACTTGAGTGCATGCCCCATAACCTGGTGCAACAATAATAATAAAGATGCATGTGATTACATTGGCATCTTCGGCACTACTCACAAAGAAATAATCTGACTGAACTATTGGGTACGGGGAATCTTCCCCGAGCTTGTATGGTGATTATTTCGACCGACTTGTGACGCAGAATTCACGCCAATCGCGAAACTGCATGTGAGTAAGATTGTGCACGTCCCTTTCTTGTTTACTAGGTACTTTGGGGATCTTCGGGGCTACTGGAGTATGGGCTTCCTCGCTTTCTGATGGCAATCCCGGCTTCCGCGGTTTCCTTGTCGTCGGAATTGCCGCGTGTCTGATTCTCTGTGGTGAATGTTGTGAGGAGAGTACCATATGCGCCGGGGCTGTCTTTGGGTCTTGGAGAGTTGTCCAATTAGTTCGGTTCTCAAGGAGCTGCCAAGGCGATGTCTTCCATTTGACCCACACGATGCGAATAGGAAACTTTTCAGCGGCCGTTCTTTGATTAACCCCCCGGAAACCTCCCAACCGGAATGTGCATCACAGTAGTCCCGGGGTGCAGTACGAATGGTTCTTTGTCGTTCGTCAGGAACTACATTTCGTTTCCATCGCGTTGCATTTCTCACGGAAGCGTTGCTGACACATCTGCTGGAGGATCCTCCAAAGGTTTCTGGAACGCAATTGACGAGATCACATTCTTCAGATTCTCGGGAACAAGATTTGGATCGACAAATTTAGCTTTGGCACGATGCAAGAAGTTATGTCTTTTCACAACGAAACCACCACAAAGAAAGGGGAAATGGCCACAACTTGGGCATCCCCAAACGTTACAGACATGTTGTTTTGCTTAGCTAGGCGGCTTACGCTAATCAACGTAGAAGCATTCCGAAACACCCCGAATCGAATCGCGAGCTGCAAGACCTTGCCATTCGATCCGATTAGCTGTAATGGGACGCCTGTGTATCCCAGCCTCTTCATGTCATGACCACTTGCGGTTATTCCGTCGTTCCCTGATGCAGGAATCATCTTGATGTGAGGGGCGAAGGTTGGTCCGCACACGTGGTCAAAGGTGCCAGCATCCAACAACACTAAAAAATCATGTGTTGTGTTGCGATGCCTTGTTGAATGTTAAGCCCTGGTTTCTTCTGAATTGCCGGGCGGTTCAAAAGTTGAAATGAAACATTGGCGATTGCTAGGGCACACCTCTGGACACACATATGGTGAAAACGCACTGCTTGCGGCGACGAGCACCAACAAGAAGAATGAGAACACCTGCAAGCACAGCATGTTCCAACCCGTTGATCTCGACGAGGGTTCCACCGATGACGTGTTCCTGTCTACGTGCTGCTTGTGTTTATTGTGCGGCGTGCCTGCGCGCGTTCGCAACGTCTAGGATGCGTTCACCATGCGCGTGTGTACACCTTGGGCGATGCTTAAGAAAACTTCAATTTTCGGCCAGAGTCTCGATTATTCTTAGTGTTTCGATGTACACCCTAAGATTTCAATAAAAATTTTGGGTTTTTATTCAAGTTCTCAGACTATGAATTTCTTAACCCATGATTTCTTAAGCATTTCGCAGGGTGTACACTGACGCACAGGCTAGTATTCCGGACTGCTGGTTTCCCTGGGGTCTTTCTCTTCCGTGCTGGGATCCTCGTCCGAAGACAAACGAAACCAGTGTGTTCCCCCGAAACGCTCCCTAGAAGAACAGGTTTCCGTCTGCGTCCCAACATCCATGCATGCATTCATACGTGCACTACCGAATTCAAGTTCAAGAAAATTCTCTGCTGATTGCTCCCCTTCATCGTCTTCACATGCGGGACACATTGCAGCAAACTCTTCTGGCTGATACTGTTGCCCCTAATTACAAGACGGAGTCTCCGAAACCCACTGGTCATTCGAATGGGATTGGGGCGCAACCTCAGCTGACTTGTTACCTGTATTGTTTGCTTTGCTTTTTCTGTTACACCTACAGTCAGAGGTCCAATGGTTCCTCATCCTGCAAATGTCGCACCATTTGTGTGGCTGAGCTTTACCACCAGCAGTCTTTCGAGAACATTTGCCGGTTCCTTGCCAATTGTTTTGAGACCATTGTCCGGGACGCCCCAAAGAGGAGTTTGTTCGTCCTTGTTGGGGGTATCTTGATCTTTTCCCAGACCCGGCTTTACTTCCATAATTTTTGCCTCCGTACTTCCCTCCTTCATCCTTCGCTTTCCCACCAAATTGTCTTGTCTTTCCCACCTGGATCATATCCTTTCCCTCCTAATGTCGTTCCTGTCGTTCCTCCTTTCCACGCGGACGTAAATGGATCGACCGCCATGGGCTTGGTCCAGGAATCGTTTCCGGATTTGGCGAAAGGGTTTGTTCTTGTTTCGGTGTTTTGACATGCGCTAGAATCTTCTGTTTGAGCTCCTCATTGGTCTCATACAGCTCCGTGTTCAATTCAACATGTCCTTTCATTGGTTCTGGAATCGATGATTGCTGTGATGTTCACGTCATCGGAACATTATGGTGGATTCGCGAGATCATCGTACTACTGCACACGAACCTCGAACTCAGCCAATTTCTCTGGCAAACTGTCCAAGCGATCGGTGGAGAAATCATAACTCAAGATTGGTGTCATGAGTCTTCGACGTGTGTGTTCTGTCTTTCGGGTCATATCGGGCGCATGTGTTCCGCCACATCTCGAAACCGTTCCCCTTCTCAAGTTTGCGAAACATGTTAGCCATTCCTCCCTTCACCAGGCCTACCAAAATGTAAGCAAGATTAGCTGCATGCTGTTTCACAGGCGCGTCCATCGTTGCAAGTGCTGTCTCCTCCTGTCTCATTCGTGCGCGCTCCATGTGTTCCAACAGATTGTTGCTCACTGCACCTGCATAGTTTTCAAACTGAAACGACCAATCCGGCCAATCAGCATCTCTGCTCAAAAAATTATCGCACGTTCTTTCCGTTCGTATCGATGACTTGTTGGGCAATGTCTTCCTTCCGGGACTGTTTCTAGAATTGTTCCCCGGGTTCCCGTGGATCTGAAACCTACGATGTTCTAAGCCACAGTTCCGCTGCCATGTAAGACAGCAGCATGCATTTCTTGGGATCAGCTTGACCCAAGCCGGCGGCGGTTCAGGCAGAGAGCGAGGTGAGACGAGAGATGGGAACATGTGAATGATTTCCAGCAGGAGGAGGAGGAGGAGGAGGAGAAACAACAGGAGCAGGAGGAGTCCGTAGCCATTTTGGCTCAAGTCCGTAGCGTTTCGCTCAAGGCCTTGACCTGGTGGTGTGGGGGATTTTGCGGCCCCCGACTGCTTTCCTGGCGGTGTACGGAATATTCCTCTCTGTACATTCCTTCGATGGTACCAGACCCTTCTTCTCGCTTTTCGAATGCTCCGTGGGCGCACTCAGGGACCAGTCAGGGCGAAGGAGGGGGTTGGACGCTCAAAGGGAAAGGGAGGAAGCCGCCAGCGACAGGGTTTGCATGTCCGTCTTGTGGGTGTCGACGCAACTCGCCCGAATCCTTTTCGTGCAAGCGTTGTGGCAACCTCCTTCCGCGCATGGCTGCGGATGCTTATCCTGGTCCACTTACTGGCAGTTCGTGGGCTATGTCGGCGCCCCCTGGTAGCCGGTCTGGTTTCAAGGGCCACAGTGAGAAAGGCGGAGTTGGCAAAGACGCACGTGGAAAAGGTGGCAAATGCGGTTTCGGCAAGGGATATTCTGACTCGAGTTGGTTCGGCTGGTCGGACATGCCCCATGAGACCAAGCACTCTTCTCATGTGCTCGGAGATGGGACAGCTGGAGGTGGATCCCCGCCTCTTCCTGCAGGCCTTGTCCCTTCAGTCACCGCTGCCGAAGCGCGCCAACTGTCAGAGCTGTCCAACAAGGCGGGGGACAAGTTGGCAGCACAACGTTACGACCTCATGGCGAAGCACCTGGAGGCTGCGGACAAGCCGCCGCCCGAACTGTCGGCACATGCCCAGATGCAGAAGGCGCACAAAGAAGTTCAGCAGCTTGAGTCTCGAGCTGAAAAGGACCTGCAGCGCCTCACGAAGGCCAAGGAGCATGTCGC